ACGCAGATGTCTAAAAGTTAAATACCTCAGTGTGAACTGTTTGCCACAGACTCTTACATTGGTGGAAGGGAAAAAAGCATCATGAGTTGATAATCTATCTCATTCTAAAATAAGTTGCCTGAGGTAAGCTAGGAAGATGTAAAATAGGGTGACCAGCTGAGACGTACGTGTCTGAAATCATCTGAGATGAATCTTATCTACAAGAATCTCCTATTACTACATTGCTTTTAAAATGAAAGGCTGAGCAGACTGAAATGTTTACTACATACGAGTTCATTTTTGGAGAGGCAAGTGCTTCTTCATGTGGAGCTCAAATCCAATCTTAATGCCCCCTTAAAATGTATTAACGCTTAAAGAACAAAGCGTGATTTGGAGAAATAATTTCAAAACTTCCGAAAGAGAAACATGTCAGAGGTAGATGCAAAGTCATGTTTTTCAGCTGATCCACTGTGACAGGTTTATAGTTGAACAAGAGTTCATGTACACTGAATTCATGCAGAATGGTACATTTTCTGTATTCATCGTTGTATAATAAATCTGGAACTGGAAACAGAATTTAACCTGGAGAGAATAAAGAAGTTTCATGATATGTAGCTTCAAAATGGAAAAATCTTCAGCCAAGCGATGTTCTTGAAATTCCTAATACCCAGTCGAGATGCTAGGTAATTTGGTTAGTCCCAAGCTGACATTGATTTATCTGCTGCGTACCAAGGTCGTTGTATAATAAATCTGGAACTGGAAACAGAATTTAACCTGGAGAGAATAAAGAAGTTTCATGATATGTAGCTTCAAAATGGAAAAATCTTCAGCCAAGCGATGTTCTTGAAATTCCTAATACCCAGTCGAGATGCTAGGTAATTTGGTTAGTTCTGTGAACTGTATCAGGTGAAGCAGTGCATGTGGTAACCTGGATGTCAGAAAAGAGTTTGCAAAGGTGGAATTTCCATCTCAATTTAAAAGAGGTGCTCAAATTTACTTTTTAAATCTTGAGATATTAACCGTTTGCAGATGCCTTCGTTGGGCCTGAGGAAGTCCCAAGCTGACATTGATTTATCTGCTGTGTACCAAGGATCAGTGGTTGGGTGAGAAGCTGAAGCTGTTGGCAGTAACATCTCTCTTGGTTGTCATTCCCATGGATGATGCTGCAGAACAACCCTGGCTGAATTTAGGGATGTTCTGTCTTGCACAGGGGTCCTTAATGACCACTGTGGTTTTTCAGAGGTCACAAAGGTAAAGGTCTACAAGAGCCATGCTGTATCAGCATGAGCGAAAGCCTTGGCATTTGAGAGCTGAAAGAGTCACCTCTAAAGAGCTGGAAAATTGTAAGAGCAAATGATTCTTGGTGGTTAGAAAGTAGTTTTCAGAAAATTACGTTCACTCTACATCTTCCTAGTTTCAGCGAGGTCTAGTAAGTTAACATTGGCACAATTTTAGTGATTCTAGTCTAAACGGCAGACGGCTTTCTGGCACGTCAAACAGGTACCAAGCAATAAGGAGAGGGTACCCTGCGTCTATGATTCCTTCCAAAAAATGCCCTTATTAAATCTTCTGTGCATTACCATCCCAGACAGTAAATGCCAGGACATTCTGCCTGTGCTAGAAATAGTGTTCTTCTTAGATCTCTTACTGCAGCCGCAGCAGCAGGCACGTTTTCTGGCATGTCTGTATCCACACCCATGGATCTTATCCATATGGAGCATGAGAAAATGCTTTCCCGTGCTTGACCTGTGGACACTTGTACATGGGACCCTGCAAACTTGTCATATAGTCTTATTTTTCCATTTTTTTATGCTTTTTATACTATAGTAAAGGTGTCAATACATTATATCAAGTTGTGGTGGCATATAATGATATAATAATATCACTGGAAATATGACAAGTCGTATGTATGTGCCTTTGAGATGTAATTCTTTAAACACGAAGAGCATGAAGGCTGTTGGACCTATTTACAAGTAACAAGGGAGTTCAGACTCTGTAGTAAGTATTTGTAGGAATGTTCCTTCATTGATATGTTCTGTACAACTTCTCCTTTCTCAGCATGCAAATGATGAGGCAATTAGCAACGATGCAGACGTAGATAGCCTCTGTCTTCCATCACAGTTTATTACTTTGTTTGTAGATTAAATAGAAGAGGTTCACAGTGTGTTTTCCATGTAAAGTAGTTTAGCGTTTTATGTTTCTGTGTCAGACACAGTGAAAAGAAAAACAGTTGCAGAATCTGATGCTTGTGTATGTAGCTGTGGCAGAGTTGTGATATCTTTTGAGAAACAGGGTGTGAACATATAATTAAAGACTACGGGATACGTTTTACACTTTGTGGCTAAGGTTAAAAAATAATAATAATACAGCTCCTCAGTTCTGCGTCTCCACGCAGGAGAAGCTTGTTCTGAGAAAGATATATTTTTTTCTTCCTAGGAGGACTCCTACGTGTACTAGAAATAGCCGGGGTGCAGCGTGCCCCAGTTACATCTCCTGCACGAGCAGCGGCGAAGATGCTGGGGTGGGAGCGAGCTGGCTCCATAGCCACTGGCAGTGGGAGAAGCACAGTGGGGAGATCTCTAGCCACTCCTCCTGCACCCACAGCCACGTAAACAGGACATGCTGCCGCACAAAAGGGATGCGTTGACATTGTCTTAGCTGTTTCCTGAGTTTCAGGAGGAGGGGAGAGATAGCAGGGATAGGGGCGGGGTGGTGGAAGTCCTCACCTGAGCTCTGCCACTCACCTGGAGCAGGGCAGAGGAGGGGTCCCTGCTCTTTTGACGCTCCATGGGACCCCTCTGTATCCCGCCTGGCACACCACAGGGTGAGTCGCGCTTGGGTTAATCAAAGCACCTGGGGTAGCCCTACCCTTTTCCCAAGAAACAGCCTGAGATTAGGCCCTCTGCCTTGTCTGTTACACATTTTGGGGGAATTGGGGAGCATCACTCTTGTGGGGCTGTTTGACCTTCTAGGACATCTTGGCATAAGGGGCAGGGATCTGTCGCCCTGTAGAGGGAGAAAAAAAAAAAGTGTAGGAAAATGCAAGTTTATCCCCTCAAAAGCTGGCAGAAGACGTAGGCAGCTGCAGCATCTGAAATTCTGGGTATTTTACACTGAGTAGATTTCAGGTTGCGTCCTATTAAATCAGACCTTAGGATCCCTTAAATACACTTGCGTGATTATGGCTAACCCAGTAGCTAAAGCTGCTTTATTAATTACATTGACTCATTGGGTTGTAACATGCTAAAAATATCAGTGCTGATAATCTTGGTTACTTCTTATTTTCAGCATGGCTATATTCTTGGTACATACTGTCAAATCACCGTGCTGTGGATGGACCAGGGTTATCACCGGCAGGGCTTTATTATTTTAGCAAAGGTATTTTTGTGTTGTTTCGATAGGAAACAGAAGATGGGTGATAAGCTAACACACTCACAATGGGTGGAAGTTCATTAAAAATATATGTCCTTGTTGTACGTATGATGTATTTAGATGTTAAGCCCTTTGGAGCAGCAGGTGTCTGTACAGTGTCATTACAATGGGGCCTCACGTGGCACCAGATTTACGGCGCTGATGGTAATCAAAGACGACTTTCTGGCATGCCAGCAAGTTAGGTGGGGTCAGGGGAGCTGGAAGCTGTGCAAGGGGAGGAAGGCAGTTGTGGGTGGGAGGTGTGATAAAATGGGACCAGTCAGGGGGGCTAGAACAACCGCCTTCCACGCAGAGGAGAACGTGTTTCTTTTTTGGCAGTCTGTATGTCAGAGGTAGTATGTTGCCGAAGTTATTTTTCAAAGCATTTTTTTTCCCCCTTTTAAAAATAAATGTTGTGTTAAGCAGCGGTCTAGCTTCTTAACGCACAAGTAGGTCAAAGTCCTGTCACGACTGGCTTGCATGCCACCTACAAATACAGCTTAAAAGTCTTGTGGAGTGCCAAATTAAGCAGGAAGAGCAGGCGAAGCACTCTAATTCCTTGACTTGTGCTTAAGTCTGGAGCGCGATAAAACATCATCCCCCTGGCTTTTTGACATTACTCTCGCCGACAGCCATTTCAGGCAGGTGATGGAAATCTGGACTGTTTTCCACTACTGTGAGCAGGTTGGGCACGTCATGCATTTAACCTTCACAGTCTTGGAAGTTTGCATTGGTGAAATGGCTGCTTCACCCTCAACTTGAGACATTGTGGAGGTAAAGCAGCAAGGTCAGGGACTAGTTAAGAGATACCGCCTACAATCTCCACCCTGGATCCCCTGATGTAAGGAAGTGTGAAAAAACTCAAATTTGCTGACCCTGCAGATAATTTATTTTTTTTTTTAGGAAATGAGCAGCTGCTAGAAGTGCCTTGAAAAGACACTTCAGCTTCTGGGAAACACCCAGACCAGTACATTTTTGTGCTTATTAGTGACAAGGGGCCCTGCCTCCATTGTTTTCCCTGGTCGCTCCTGACTTTGCGGGAGCTGCAGAATCGCACCAAGTGCCAACGGGCTTTTGAGCTTCCTCGGGAGGCGCAGGGCTACTCCCCTTTCCACGGAGAGCCAGGGTGCCAAGGGTGAGCAGCCCACCTATGGCCAGGCCCGCCCTTTGCAGCTTCAACGCCATCTCCAGTATTTTGACACGTGAAGTAGCCCCTGTGCGTGTTCTCACGCCCGGGAGGAAAACCACCAGGTTTGTGAAATACAAACTCCTGCCAGGCAGTGTGAGGATGCGGGATGCTGTCCCATAACAGCTTCAACGCCATCTCCAGTATTTTGACACGGGAAATAGCCTCCTCACGCCTGGGAGGAAGACCACCAGGTTTGTGAAACACGAACTCCTACCAGGCAGTGTGAGGATGCAGGATGCTGTCCCATAAGGGATGCTGTCCCATATGAGATGCTGTCACATAAGGGATGCTGTCCCATATGAGATGCTGTCCCATACGAGCTGCGTCCCAGCTTAGTTAGTCCAGCACCATCCGTCTGGGTGAACTTGCTCTGCCCACATCACCTAAAAACGTGATTCACGCTTTCCTTTCTCTTTAACAGATAATCCTGAAATAGCCGGCAGGAGCGGAACGGAGTGTCACGAAGCCTCCCTGCGGACGGCCAAGCACGGCTACTGTACATACTACCCCGTCTCCTCCTCTCTAGAGTTGCCACAAACTGCATGCTAAGTCAAGAATTTGTTCTTACGGACAAATCACAAACTCGAAAAAAGCTAGTGCTGCTATGTCATATATGAATATTAAATATGGTATGCTTACTATACTCCAACCTAAAATAGTTAACTACCTGATACCAGCTGTGATGTTTCAAGACATAAAGGGTAACATTTAGTTTTAAAGATTTTCTAAGCATAGTTTAATTCTTGCAAATATTGTCTTTTCTCCATAACTATACCTAACGGAAATGGTCCAGTTAAGTTAGTCTCGCGAGATTCAGTGTTTACGAATCTTTCGAGCTCAGCAATAATTAAGTTGTATTGGCTAAAAACTTATCCCAGTTGCAGGTTTAATTTTCACCCGAGCTACGATTGGGGTTTTTCTCCTCAGTTAAAAAAAATAAATAAAATAAATAAATCTTGGTTTTGCTCCCCTAGAGAGTCGATTCCAAGACAGAGGAAGTGAAATGCAGTGCAGTGTCCTGCACATCGCCCTGCCAATCTGAATAGTTTTATCCAGAAGTCCAAAGTAAAGCACAAATTCTTTAGCTGCACATGGTTGGTGTTTGACTTGTATGGAGAAGTTGCATTTGACTCATAGCAGAATAGCAGAAGAAAATTTAAAAATTTTGCACAGTATGAGCTTCATACCCCTTTCGAATCCCCAAAAGAACAAAGTCTTGAAAATGTTATTTTACGAGTATATTTATAATGTTTTTAAAAGAGACTTTGCAGAAGTGCCTAAATTTTGTCACATCAGACTTGATGAAAGTGAGCCTGATGCCAACAGTCAAATCTCACCGGAAGCGAGTAATCTCTCAAACTCACCGTCAGGTTACCAAAAAGATCCAAGCGGTTTAAGAAGTAACTTCTAGAAGTGTAAAATCAAACAAAACAAAACAAAACAAAAAAAGACCAAACTAACAAAAGGCGGAAAAGAAGGCTGTAGATTAAGAGATTTGTATGATACTCTAATTTAATTAAAATTCAGCCGAGTCACTGAAACTTCATTGGTGACTTTAATCTAGACTATTAACTGAACACTAAGAATGTAGAACGAGATTCAGTTTAATAAATCATTACTGTATTTGCATTTTTTTAATTTGATTATAAGATTGTAACCAGATTAGAATGGAGAAAAAAATAGTTCTTTTAATTGTTTTTCTTTAAAAACATATTTTATGTCACAAAAGTATGAAGATATCTTTAATACAATTATATACATGTTATATATACATACATACATATATATGGATGAAGCAGATTTTAATGTTGTTTACTTTTTTAAATACTTTGTTGATTTACAAGGTAATTATATATGTATAATTAAAATTTCATTTGTTTGATTTGAGATTTGTTTCAAGCACTATTGTACCAAATATTTCATATTTCACATTTTATATGTTGCACATGTATCACATAAATGACATAGTTTTTAAATTATTGTTTAAAAAAAAACAAGACAGCTGTTATAAATGGATATTATGTATAATTGTTTGCAGCATAAGTTTTCTATGTGGACATTATTAGTGATTGCAGTATTTTAACTTAACCTCTTCAGATTGATTGTAAACTATTTTAAACTTTGGCAGCACTGCCTGTTCTGAACGACTGAAGGCACTAACCATATAATTACTTGTCTAGGAAATTATTTTCTGGGCTAAATCTTGTTTGTCCGATGTCTAATTACTATCTATTTATATATAAAGCTGGAGATTTGATCATCCGAAAGAAAAAAAAAAATCACGATTCGATTGTAAAATTAACATAGTGCTTGTAACGTTGCGTTAGTTTTAATTTGTGGAAAAATAATGTATCTTAACTTGTTACTTTAGCAGTTAAGGTATCACCATTATATACTATTAAAACACTAATATTTGTAGACTTTCTCAGTCATTATAACTAGGTAGTTGACACTGCAACTTGCCTATATCTGTCAAAGTTGTTTTTATTTTTTTATAATAGTTAATTTAGGCATTTGGGTAGCTTATTGTATAATACTAAATGGTAAATTATCCATGTTGTTTAAATATTTTATGTAGATAACTCTTCAAGGCATCGTTTTGTGTGAACTTTTTATGTTTCGAAATAACTGTTATTCTATGTTTTTTACAATTAATCCAATAACAACTATTTTTTGCCCATGGATGATGAAGCTTCAGATACATCAGGCCTTTCATCCAGATAAACTGACAGACAAAAAGAGAAAATGTATTTTTAATAAGAGATCCACTTTCCGACTTTATGACTTTGTAATATTCCTGAAAACTGTACAAGTACAAACTTATGCTCACAGTAAGGAGGCAATTACAGAGATGTGCAAATACATGTACAACAGATTCTGCATTTTATTTATTTATAAAGTAATTTTGTAGACTATTTCAAAATTTGGGAAGATCTAAAACTATTTTTCTGTATAAATATTATTTGCCAAAACTTTGTTTATATTTTAAAAAGAAAAAAAAAAGTCTAATGAAAATGATTAAATTTTAAATGCTTTGTTTAATTAAAAAAAAATACCCAACAAATAAAACCCCCTAAAAGAACCATGAGATGGGCCAACACAGAGACAGTGAATACTGTAGCTGGGACATAGTTTCAAGTGACTTGAGATGTCTCAGTGTTTATTTTCTTCAAGGGATACAGCACCTCACCAAAATACCTTTTTGTTTGCCTCTCTCATCCAGGATAATTGACGACGCGTACGATGAATATTTCAGTAACAGTTAAAAGAAACCCCTCCATTCACTCTTTTTCAGCATATAACTACTAGTGGTCTGTTAAATAGCCATTCTATTTCTGTTGTGACGTTAAATTCATTCACCCAATGTACAACCACTGAAATAAAAAGAAGCATTTTAAAATGAGAGCGGAGTCAGGGGCGATCCTTTTCTGGGGTGCGGCGCTGGGAAGAAGGGCCCAGGGTAACAAAAAACGGTCAAAAGAAAGCAAACAAGTCTTTAAAAAGTATGTATTTTACTCTTTTCTCTCTTCTCTCTTCTCTTCTCTCTTCTCTTCTCTTCTCTTCTCTTCTCTTCTCTTCTCTTCTCTTCTCTTCTCTTCTCTTCTCTTCTCTTCTCTTCTCTTCTCTTCTCTTCTCTTCTCTTCTCTTCTCTTCTCTTCTCTTCTCTTCTCTTCTCTTCTCTTCTCTTCTCTTCTTCCTATCCTATCCTATCCTATCCTATCCTATCCTATCCTATCCTATCCTATCCTATCCTATCCTATCCTATCCTATCCTATCCTATCCTATCCTATCCTATCCTATCCTATCCTATCCTATCCTATCCTATCCTATCCTATCCTATCCTATCCTATTCTATCCTATTTTTTCCTTAATTGCATGTTCTGATAGCAAATCCTTAAGCACAGCCCCCAGGTGTGGGACAGGGGCAGATGCTGTGTGAAGAGCACATTCTTTTCTGCCAGAGCCGGTGCGTTGAGGTCTCCGTGCTGCGCGACTTTAGCCCCAAAAATCTCATTCCGTGCCCTCTCTGCCTGCCGGTGTGCCTGCTGGGGTGTGGGCAGGCAGTGGTTATCTCGGTGGTGTGGCTCACAGATGCCCAACTGTTGGGGGAGGGTTTTTTCGCCAACAAATAATCCCTGTTATCTTCTGGTTCCTCTGGGGAGAGCAGCAGCGCAGAGGAGATGCATGCCCAAGGGCAGAGATCACACAGCAAGCGAGGGATTAAAACCTCTGGTTTACAGCTTCTTCAGTGTCTTCAATTTCTTCACACTATCTTTTCTGATTTATTTTTTTTTTAATAAGAAAGGAAATTTCCTGCAGAATCAGGAAGAGTTTGTGTCATAAAAGTTGCCTATCTTTCATCAGCACAGGGCTGGTTGGAAAAGGAGTCCGAGGTCACAAGCCATGTGGAAAACCAGCAGGTCAACCAGTCCAGTTTGGTCGTACCACAAACGTACTGAGCCAGAAGCCTGCTGAGAACGAACATGTAGGCTGGAGAGGAGATCCAGGGATGACTTTCAGGGACAGAAGAGAGCGGGAGCACTAGAGGGCTGCAAGGGCATTGTAGAGCAGAAGCTGCCAACAATTCAACTCTTCGAGATTCAGGAGCAGAAACCCTGTCTGTTCATGGTTTTTTATGTTAAGCCCCACCCAGGAGAGATCTCAGCTGCCAAGTAGGATCAGGACATGTTAATTCTCTTGTCTAAAAGCTGCTTTGTTTCTTGTCAACTTGGACATGTTTTTGGCAGTGGAGAAGCGTTCGTGGGAGCTGTGAGCTTTCAGGAGCCACACCAAACCAGCCATCTTTGTACACCCCTGTGTGCGGAGCTCACATCACTGCTTCCGAAATGAAGTGAGATACTTCTGGAGAAGAGGCTTTAGAAACCTTTGCTACCTCACCCCACCGCCATGGACATCCTCGTGGACAGATGGTGGTCACTTTGGTGCCAAAAAACTGATCCCCTGCAGGGAGTGGCCCTCTGCCTCGGGCCATGCGATGTTCACCACCAGCATCGCGTTGCTCAACATCAGCCTTCTCTAGGGCAGACCAGCCAGGTCCATGCTCACAGCATGTGCATCATCTACTCTGGCCCCACATGGCGTAGCCAGTGACCACAGGGCGTAATTATTATTTTCAGTATGTTTTTGCATGGGTTTCAGTTCAGAAGTCTGAAGTAATCTGAGCGCTGTGTTGGTTTTGTTGTTTGGGGCTTTTTTTTTTAAAGCCCACTGGAATTAAAAGCATGAAACAAAAGAGGATGTGACATTTGAGGGGTTAGAGCCTGCTGGGATAGCTTTGCATGTTTGTATACAGCAAAAGAAGCCAACGCTGTTTCAGCCTTGTCCGTGCTGTGTTTTGGGGAGTATCTGTTGAGCAAGTTACCGAAAGAGCAGTTGGGTTTTGTTCCAGGAAGGGAGAGCCTAGGAACAGAAGAGAGCCTAGGAACAAGCTGATGTTCCTGTGTTGTGGGTGATGATGGAAAAAAGACTTGTGGGCAAGGCTGCTTGACAGAGTGGGCATCGAGTCTTCTTCTAGTGGCATTTATTGCGTGTTTCCATGACACCAAAAAAATGCTTTGCGCGGAATTGCTGGGAACCTTCCTTGGCATCTGCCCGTATGCGAACCATGCACTTTATGTCAGCAATCATTTCTCTAGCCAAGCCTTTTGTTGAGTGACCTGCCTTCTTAATGTCACAGAATCACAGAATGTCAGGGGTTGGAAGGGACCTCGAAAGATCATCTAGTCCAGCCCCCCTGCCAGAGCAGGATCACCTAAGTAGGTCACACAGGAAT